TCGGTTTAGATGTTGGCAGTATCCTTGAAGTTACTAACTGTTTCCCTTTCCCGGTAATTTCGCTGATCTCCTTTTTAGCTTTTTTTTCTCCTTTTGAATCTCGTTGATATGTTTCTGTTTTAATTTGGAATGTTTTGTTTATTGGGATAGATCTGCGAGGAGGAAGAGGAGATTGAAGCTGATGGAGCTAATTATCAGCTCGAGATGATGCGATGCCTGAGGGAGGTTAATGTTGATAACAACACTGTTGGATGGTAATGTCTCGACTATTTTTGTTGTTTAACTGCTAGATACACTGCTTTTGGAGCCGAGACTAACATTTTGTAGTAGTTGACGGATGTTGTCCTAGATACTTGAGGAATTAGGAATCATGATGCTTGTTATGATTTTGAGTTCTTGATAATTCTGGTACTGTTAATAACCAATGGTTAAACCAATCTTGCGGTATGCATATTATCTTAATTGGTATATTTATTCAAGTGATTTGTACTTTGGTTAATTGTTATGTACTCTGAACTTCTGTTTCATGTGGTGATCTTTGCCTTGCGTTTTTTTAGGTACCAATCAACGATTTTGGGTTCATATCAGACAGTTGAGCTCATCGAGACCTTTATGAATTATCAGGTAAAGGAAACATTTTTAACATTATTTGACTGCAATTAATGTGATGAACATGAGACATCTCACCATTCTATTGATAGTAAAGAAAAATAACACCGTATAGAAAAGCTCTATGTTTGTTTGTTTTAACTTTGAAGGGATAGCTTGCTGTGCCTTACCATTTAAATCCACTTTTCAAAGTTTAGTTCTTCAGTTATTTACCTGCTTAATTGTTAAACTGTGCTGGAGAATATAAGGAGGTGTGTGTGCATTATCTACGATCCTTCAAGGTCTAATCAAGGTGTCTTGGCTCTCAAGGCTTTGAAGCTATCTGATTCTTTTATGGAACTTTATCGGCTAATAACTTTACCGGAGAGAAGTATGGTTTCTCCTTGCTGTCAAAATTTTAGGAATTTGAATTTTATGTGCTCTCATATTGATTGTCTCTTTCACTGTTATAGGTTGAGGGAGAAAAACTTGTCATGGGTGGATATTTTTGAGGAAATTCCTGTAAGTTCCTACTGCCTTGGCTGTTTATTATTTTGAAGAATTAATATAATAAAGCATTGCAATGACATTTTCCTTTGTTATTATCTCGTATGAAATAATTAAATAAACATTAGTCCTGTAGAAACTCTACATATGATGAATAATCAATTATTTCAGCACTGTTAGAATCTGATATAGAAAGGAGCTTACAAAGTTCATTATGGAATATTGAGGATTTCCACAGTTTTCTTGTATAAATATAATACATGAATTATCACTATAAGCTAGTGTATTTTCAATGTAAACAACCATGGTTCCCACTTTCGTGTTGATGTTTGTGGTGTTTTTGTATTGCAGATCAAAGTCTCAAATTCTGCTCTTATCAGTGCCTCTATGACTGAGCTGGAATCTGATACACCAGTCACACAGGTGAATTATAAATTGTTTATCAAGTGGTTTTTAGTAGTGCCATGGTAAAAGACTCTGTATCTGTGAAATTTTCCTTCTAATTTTAATTTTCCATTTTAGTGTGATTATGACCGTCTGCAATTATCAAGTAATCCTTACATGGAGAGGAATATGGAATTTTTTATTGAATGCATGGATGATTTGTCAATGGAACAACAGAAGGTATGTATTCCTGTTTCTCCGATATTGTACTGCTATCATTGCTCTGCTATTTTATGTTTGACATAAACTGCTGTTCTCTCTCTTTTTTTCCCTTTTGCAGTTCCAATTTTACTACAGGAACTTGTCACATCAACAGGCTCAGCAACAAGCATGGCTTCAGAAAAGAAGGTAGTGTATTTGATCTCTGTGCTACTTGACTCTTTATTTTCCTTGAAAGACCGTTGAGGACCTTCCAAGTACATGGAAAACTTAGAAAATATCCTCCTAGGAGGAAGAACAAAAAAGAGTTAACAAAATTGGTTTCCAGTTCTGATGATCTAGAAATTATGAGTCACAGCTTGAAATTTTAATTGGTTGAATTCCTCAATATTTCTTAAGGATTTTAAGGGTAATAATTAAAAAGTTTGAAGCTGTCTCCATTTTACCTTTTGGATGAAGTTGATTTTGTTGTGTGAAATGTCTTTATTTTGTGATTTTGTTTTCTTAGTTCACCAAAGTTCATGTATTTTCTCTCTTTTGTAACTGTAGGTCTGAGAACATGGCACGAAAGGCGGCTGGGGAGGAACCATTGCCTGAGGAGGACCCCACAAATCCCATCTTCAAGCCAATCCCCGAGCCTTCACGATTGGAGAGCTTTCTCATAACAAACCAAATTGCTAATTACTGCAACCAAATCAACGGGTATGTTGTCTGTTCTTGATCTTACCATTTTTTTCCTGGATAGCCTCATATAACAAAATCTCCCTCAGTTTGCCATTTTGAAATCTCTGAGGGTTTTAATGTATATTTTCAACTTGTATCTCTGGTTTTTGTTTTCACTTATAATTCCTTCCTTTTAGACATGAATCACTACCTAGTGTACGCATTCACAAATGTCAGAAAGTAGTTAAAAATCTCGAGAAATGCGCAGCGATCTTAGTTTCTTCAGTAACTTACCATTGTTTAAATCATTTTGCAGGGTTGCTGGCCAGAGCTTCAACAGACTGTATTTAATGAAGTCGTTGCATGATAATTGATCCGGAAACCTCGCAACACCGTCTGCTGCAATGTTAGGTACGAAATATTCACCGTCTAGATTAGCTAAAAGTTTTTGCAATGTTTATTTGGAGATGAATGAGATTGATTTTTTTTTTCAGCGTCGTTGCGTTTTGAGGTCAAAATAGGAGTGAATTAGAAATTTTGAGATTTATCGGTTAAAAATGATTGCCAATGAAAGATTTTGATTCGATTTAAAGATTAAATTAATATTTTATTAAAAATTTAAATGTCAAATTGATATTTTATCTGAAATTTAAGGATCAAATTAATATTTTATTTTTAGGGGCTAAATTAAAAGTTAATCTATTTTATTAATGTGTAATGTTCATTGATGTAGTCCTTTTTAATACATGTCTTCCTTTGTTAATTTCACGTGGAAAACCTGGTAGAGACGAGTCTACATCACACGCAACAACACACACACACACACACATATATATATATATACCGGTATAAATTTATAAATAGTCATTAAATTATGATAAAATGATTTTTTGTAATTCAACTTTTAAAAAATTATAAAATGAATATTAAATTTTAGATTCCATTAAAAAGAAGTATTGACACTTGACTCTTTTGAAGGGTTAATGTGACATATTAAATTAATAAAAAAATCTCATTTATTCCATCAATAGTGACTAAAATTTTGTTTTTGATATATTTTTTTAACAATTTTAAGTAATAATTCCAAAAAATTAGAATTTTTATAAATATATGGATTTTTAAAATTAATTTTTGAAATTATAAATATATTTTTAAAGTTATATTTAAAACTATTAAAAAAAGTTAAAGAATTGAATCACATTGTTTAATAAAAAATAGTTTCATTTTTATAACTAAAGTTATTGGATTTCAAAATTTATAAATTCTCAAATATAATCATAATTTTTTTTAAAAAAATAATTCTAAATCTTATGAATTAAAAGATTAATTATAAAGTTATAATTTTAAAAAAATAGTTTTATGATTTTAAAAATGAATAGTAAATATATATATATAATTATTTTTTAGAATTATTATCTCAAAATATTGAAAAATATCAAAATGAAATTTAGTTTATAATTGAGGGTTGAATGATATATATTTTTAAATTAATTTAACATGTTAAGTTATCCTTTTAATGATAATTAAAAATGTGATATTCATTTTGTAGTACAGTTGAGGGTCTGATTGAATGAGATATTATATAACTTTTAAAAGTTTAATGTTAAAAATAAATATTTTAATATAATTTAATAACCATTTAAAAAATTTACATTCAAAATTAGTGGTATATCTCGATACATGACATGTATCGTAGAATTTTCCGTAGAGAGAAATATAGTAATGGATGTTCATGTCAACAGACGGAGAGAACCGTTTGTGAGTTAACGGCTATAACAATTTTTCGTTAAAAATTAATGAAGTAATGAAGAAAAAGTTGATTGTTTATTTAAATATTAAGGGTATATTTTGATATTATACCTAATTAATATGATGCAACATGAATCAAATTATCTCAGTGGTTAAAGGAATTATTGTTGTTTTCAGAGATCACAAGGGCGACTGAGTACACACTGTCAGACGGTTGAGAATATTTAGTATGAATATTCAAATTTAGGTACATGTATTTTTGGGTTACGAGTATCCTTGGTTTACATTTTTAATTTTACATTTTCTTTAAATTATATATATTTTTTAAAATACATAGAAAAAACTAAAACTTATTAAACATAAAAGTAATGAAATAAAATAAAATAAAATTTAAAATATTTTGAATTTGAGAAATAATTTAGATTGTTAGGGTAAAATAATTTAAGAAATTAATAATTTATAAGGTTATAGTGAAATGATATAAGAAGTTAAGAATAAAAAATAAAAAATATAATTTGAGAATTAAGAATAAAAATATAATATAAAATTAAAAAATATATAAGAAACAGAGAATCATGTCGATGGGTACCCGGTTAAGCATTATTTTATGAGTTGAGATCAACCGAAAACCCGCCAAAAATAGTGGGTCGAGTATCTCGCCCGAAAATTCGGGTATTTTCACTATAAATACCTGATAATTTTTGTCCGTGTCAACAGGTCGGATCATCTGGGTTGAATAGAAATTTTTAATTCGGGTATTTGATATTACATAAAATAAATATTATTACTATTGATTGATTAATTCGGATAGAAATATTTAAGTTAGTTTTACGCATTTGGATTTTAATAAATTTATAATTGAAAGAAAAAAAAAACATTAAAGGATGAAATGTATGAAGTAAAAGAAGAATTCCAAAAACTGATAACAGAAATGTTGGCAAGTTTTTCACAATGTTTGTGGAACTGGGGTTTTGATAACTTGAAGTATTTGCACCACTTCCGCCATTGAAGGCCTACTTGAAGGTATCTGAGAGGTGCAAACCAATGCCAATTTCAGCACCGGAAACACTTCATCTTCAGGATAATCACCTATACTTAGATCCACGCAGTCCAACACATTCCCTTGCTCCACCGAGACCCGAACGTGATCGCTCAGTATCACGACATTATCCTCCCCGTACTCGACCGGCCTTCGTCCCGTCACGAGCTCCAATATTAGCACCCCGAAACCGAACACATCGCATTTCTCGTTCACCCTCAAGCTTTGACATGCTAGCTCTGGTGCTACATATCCTACTGCACTCTGGAACCTGTTGCTGATCACATGCTTTTCGAGCTTCGTTAATAGCCTTGCTAATCCGAAATCCGAGACCTTCGGATTGTAGTCCTTGTCGAGAAGGATGTTACTCAGTTTTATGTTGTAATGAATTATTGGTGGCCTGAAGGAATGGTGCAAGTGAGCCAGTCCCTTGGCTGTTCCGAGGATTATCTTGAACCTGTTGGACCAAGAAAATGGTGGGGCTGAACCAGATCTTTCATGGAGCTTTGTTTGCAAGTTCCCATTAGTTGCATACTCTGTTATTAGAAGCTGAGTTTGCGGCGTCCAATAGTATCCTTCCAGCGATATCAAATTTGGGTGCCTTGCTTTTCCGAGAACTCGAACTTCTCGATCGAAATCGTCTTGATATTGGATCAAGTTCGATGTCGCAAGCTTTTTGATTGCCACAAATCTCCCTTGAGGACTCGATGGGATCATGTAAACGGTTCCGAATACTCCTTCACCGATCTCTGCAGCCTTGTTAAGGAGGGTTTCGGGGTTGCCAATCCCATTAGTCGATAGCTTCGAATTGAACAGAATGAGTTTGCCTGTGGGAGGACTTCCGGATCTCGTCGAACTCGAACACATGCTTTCCAGTGCAGTCTCCACGAATTCGAGTCTCCTTCGGACTGAAACATTTAAGAGGCTTATAACTATCACCCCAGTTACAATCAGAACAGCTGCTGAAATCGCAACCATTGCAGAAATACTAAGGGAGATACGATGATGGAATCTTATCGGAGTAGCGGACTCGTTTGTTCGCCTGTGGCCACCCATTTGATCGTTGTAAGCATCCGGATCGAGAACTAAAGGTTTCGGCACATTCAACTTGCATGGTCCTTTTAACAATGGTGAACAAATTCCCAGATTTCCCTGCAAAGCACTTTGATCCAAGCTTGGAAATATGCCTCCTACGGGAAGCCTGCCTATAAGTTGATTATATGATACATTGACAGCAAGAAGATTTTCCAACAATCCGAGCTCTTTCGGTATTTCTCCACTTAGTTCGTTGAACTCGAGTTTGAGAATCTTAAGCTTGGACAATTTCGAAATCGTCTTCGGAATCAAACCGGTTAGATTGTTGTGAGACAACGTCCTACGGAAACAAGATATAATTTCGAATAACATTAGTCCAAGACATCAAAACTTAGCATATGGTAAACAAAAACAGAATGATGAAACTTACAACGAGAACAATGATGAACAGTTTCCAATCTCATCCGGAATTGGTCCACTCAATGAATTTCCATCCAATTGAAGAATAACCAAACTCCCAAATTCACATATATCCCCCGGAACATCCCCGGATAAAGCATTGTCTCGAAGATCAAGCACGGTCAGGTTCGGAAATAACCCGAGCTCTGGTGGTATCCTTGACTGAAGCTTGTTTGATGATAAGTTCAAGTACTTCATGTTGGCAAAAAGCCCCATTTCTGCAGGAATTGTTCCTTCGAGATCATTTCTAGACAGATCCAAGTTTCGAAGAGCCTCGAAGAGACTACTTGATCCTCTTGGAATCGAACCATTGAACCGATTATTGGAAAGATCCATAACTTCCAATCCCAGATCGAATAAACCAGCTGGTATGCTACCAACGAGCTTATTATTTGACAATCTCAAAGATTTTAAAGCTCTGAGATTACCAATTGATGATGGCAAGCTTCCAGTTAAACCGTTGCTCGCGAAATCGAGATACTCCAAGCTGCTCAAGCTACCAATCCATGGAGGAAACTCACTCGTAAACATGTTGTTCGATAAACTGAAGAAAACCAATGAATTTAGCCTCTGTAGAGAATCCGAGATCGGTCCATCGAAAAGATTATTGTTGAAATCCAACGAATTTAGATGTAGACAAAGTCCAATATCTGCAGGGATTGGTCCTGAGAAGCCATTAGACTGTAAATGGAGCTTTTTCAAGTAAGGCAATGTTGAAACACCTCCAGGAACTGACCCTGAAAATGAATTATAAGAAAGATCCAAAGCTCGAAGCCGATTCATCGACCAAATCCCAGAAATAAAATCTATGTTACCGGAGAAATGGTTTTTGGAAAGATTAAGGTTGTTCAAATATGAACATCTATATAGCGTGCTTGGAATTTGGCCTTCAAATGAATTCACAGCTAAAGACAGAAATCTCAGTGATGAACATGATTGAAACAGATCATCAGGGAGTGAACCTGAAAAAGAATTCCCAGATAGATCCAGAAATCTAATGGAATTCATGTTGACAAAAGAGCTCGGAACCGATCCTGAGAGATTATTATAGCTAAGATTAAGCCTTTCAAGTGTTTGAAGCACACCAAATGCTCGACCAATTGTACCACTGAAATTGTTACGAGACAATGATAATACCTTTAAATACTCCAACTTTTGAAGCCCTTTGCCGATCTTCCCTGATAATCCCAAGCCATCAAGAGAAATCTCCGAAACTCGACCGTTGTTTGGGTTGCATTTTATGAATCTCCACGAACAAGGCGAGTTATCTTCTTCGTTCCAAGATTGAAGATAAGAGGAAGGGTCTTTGATATCTGATTTGAACACTATCAAACCAAGAACATCGTCGTTGAGTTGAATGGAAGAAGCTTCATCGTCTCCTACGCAGAAATTCATGGAAAGAAGCAAACAAATCAGAAAATGAAGAGAACCCTTTGTTAGTACCACCATTGTTTTTCAATTTTTTTGCTTGGAATCTCCCCCTGAATTCAAGCTTTCACCCATGCATGGCTTTTTGCTGAAGAAGATGCAGTTCTTTCACTGTCAGTGATTAATTGCAGTACTCACGAGAGTGTTCCTTTTCAGTTTTGCGATGAAGATTCTTTCACTTTCGTCCTTTAGTTCTTGGTTTTAAGAAGTAAAAAAAAAAAAACTTGGGAAATCGAGAAAAACAGTGAATCAAAGTGAAAATAAATTCAAGGATTTTAATTTAGCTCTTTCATGCAAACAACTGGAGTATGAACCTAGCTCTTACTTTTACTGTTCTTTTATTGGTCAAATATGCTATATGTACTGTACTTTTGACAAACTTTGTGATTTAATCCTTATACAAACTAGGTTAATAATTGAACTATAATTTTTTTTAATTTTTTAAAAAAATAAAATTTATAAATATTTTGAGTTTAGAGACTAAATCTTAAACATCGTCAAAATCCAAGGACTAACGAAAAATTCAAAGTTCAATCTTATTCAAAACAAATTCGAAAAAGCTGACAATCATTTTTAAGGATAATTTTATTATTTTCTTTGGTCAAATATATCTCCTAAAACTATACGCATAATCAACGTAAGATACAAATTATGGGACGGAGGGAGTAATATTTACGTTAAAAATATAATATTATTTTATAAATTAAAAATTTGAATGACAAAGGTGTGGATGAAAAGAGAGAGAAGGTGCATGAACCGATAGGGCAATGCAAAAGCAAAGAAATGGTCCAAAAATGGCATTATCATCGTTTTTGTTTGGAAGGTTGAAGTTAAAATTCTCATCTGTCGCTTCTTTTATAGGCCTCTTTCATGCACTCTTCCCTTTCCATTTTTGAATTCTCAATTATTTTATTTTACTTATTATCAATACATTTTCATAATTATTAGACATTAATTTTTAATTATTAACGAAATTATTGAAGTCTGGGTGTTTTTTAAATATAATTTCATCTTCATCAATAATAAGAGAAAATTGAGAACGATTCGAGGGAGTGTGGGGGCAGTCGTACTTTTTAAAAATGTCAAATTTTTATATAATTTAAGTATCTTTCATAACTTTTATCTATAATTTAATTTCACAATCTCTAAATTTATAATATAACTTTCTAAAAAGTTATATCTCTTAACATAAAATTTTGCATTCGTCTCTAAGAGAAATAGAGTAAGATAATTATAATTACATGATAATTTCTTGCATACTTACTTGCTTTGGTTACTAACTCTAATCGGTGACAGATCCAGAAATATTTTTGAGGGTGGGCACACACGTATTAATTATTGAAAATATTCGTATTGAGTGGACACAAATAAAATTTCAGAGTGGACACTGATAGTAAAATGGACAACTAATATAAAAAAAATCGGATTCCAAGATAGACATGTGCCCACCCTAGATATTCTTTACATCCGCCACTGACTCTAATATATATAGATTTGGTCGGCATATGTTGATTTAAGTTTTAATCGGTAATTAAGTTAGGTTTTATTATAATTCTAGTGGATAAAGATGATTATATAATTAAATTTATTTAAGTAAAAATTGTTATAAAATCGAAGTTTTTGATATACATTGAACGCTCATACTTTTTACATTCTCGTTGCTTGAATTCAAAGCCTCAAGAAAAAAAACAACAATTCCTTTACCACCGAGGTCGCTTGTTTCGCCCATATGTTAAGATATTGTTTATATTCATTTTATGTCATATTCATTATAGGTTTATATATTTAATGCAGTGACATTATATAAAATTTTGATGTGGTAATTATTATCTAATCACAGTATATTTATTTAAAATAAATTTATATATTATTGATGTACTAAACATACACTTTTTATTTTGATTTTTATATTTTTACTACTTTTATTTTTATTTTAAAATAAAACTTATTTTAATAAATAAAATGCATAAATTGATGGTCCCGGGGAACAAAGCAGCGTGGCCAGTATTCACGAGATCCACACCATAGTCACGGGTTGCATGCAATACTTTGTGGTCATTTTTTTTTATATTTCTGGCCACAATATGTGTGCCAAATTTTAGGGTTCACAACCTTTAACGATTTGGCCGTATCCCTGTTTTGTATTTATATACTTTTCTCGTATATATTTAATCCACACTGATTCAGCGATTTCGATGATAAAAATTATTTTTATTTTTTGAAGTTTTAAATTAGAACGTTTAGAATATCAGGAGTATAAGTGTTAAATATCAAATTATTGACACTACAACAGAATATGTCTGTAGCGGCATTATTAGTGGCGTTTTGATATAGCGGCACTTATAGCCAAAACGCTAATAAATAGTAACGTTAGCGGCATTTTCTAAAAAAAACCACAATAAATTAAACATATAGTGGCGTTTGTAATTACAAACGCCGCAAGTGTTGTCGTCCCATACCCTTTTGTGAGATTTATAAAAAAAACGTCTCAATAGACTAAATATGTAGTGGCGTTTGGAGTTACAAACGCCGCAATAGGTATGTAATTCGTAGCGATTTTTTAATAAAAACATCATTAGTCTCATCAATTTGTGGTTTTTTTTAATAAAAAAAAACTATTATTGCTGTCATTTTGTGGCGTTTGAATTTACAAACGCCGCGAAGGTTATATCTTTAATCGTGCGAAATCTTTCCCCCTTTCCATCTGTTTCTTTACCTACTTTCAGTCATCCCTGCCGTTTACTCCACGAAACTGTTGCTGCCCGTTGCTGTTTGAACCCATCCTCGCCTCCAACGTCTCACCGTTCGACGCCGTCGAGGTAAACATTTACATATTGCGTTTTCAAAAATTAAAAACCGGCTGCTTTGTTTTTTCCCTTTTGTTTTTACAAAATTTGCAGAGCCATTGTTTGAATCGACTTGTCCATTGTTTTCCTCGTAACTTGAAATCCACCGCCAATTCTTCCCAAACGGAGCAGCAAGGAGGTGGTTGTCCATTGGAATTAGGTTCTATATGGTTAATAAGTAAACTTTAATATTGAGCTGAATCCATGGTTAGGTTAATAGTGTGAACTTTAGAATTAACTAATATTAGTGTTAAAACCCACTTCTATATGCATGGACATAGTAAAAATAAATTGATTGTGGATTAATTAAAAAAAATTAAACCACAACCTCTAAGCAAAATCGTCAGAATGTCAATGTGACAGATTTGCTCTCACGTTCGATGAAATTATCCCTGGGAGGCTTCCGGTTTGTTCCTGCCTTCGAAACCCGATGTTGACCCTAATGGAGCTCCGGTTGCTCCACTCCCTTCCATGGGCGGTCCCCTGCTTCAAGGTAATAATCTTTGAATCTTTTCACCTCTATATTTTTGTTTTGTGATCTCAAATTTCATAGATCCTACATAGGATGTTCGAAGCTTATTGAGAAAAATGATGGAGGAGTAGATAAATACCCTATGTTTGGAACCGAATTGGGGAAATCCATGACATTAAAAGAATCTTCAATTGCAAAAGCATTATCTATTCTCGATGAAGACAACGCTTACTTTAATTTTTTTTGTTTAATAACTAAAACTTTTTTGCAATTGTTGAACCAAGCTCTTTTTTTGTTTTAAAGGAAAAACTTACTTGCTACATAGGTAAAGCGATTCCATTGGAAAATGGTTGCGGTAACTCTCTTTTTTGTTTCATATTGAAGGTGGAAGGTCATTATCTGTTTCAAGTGAAGCATTCAAGCATGTGACTCGAAGCTAGGGGATTTATTTGGGGAAATGGATGAAGAGGTTCTCCATTTACAATTTACATAGAGGAAAAACTTAACGATGCTTCATCAAACAAACAAAATTGTTTTTTACTTTCTTTCCCTATGAAGGAGCAATGAAGACACACATATTGTGCATGTAAAATCTCTCTATCTCTCGCATGTTGTTTTGCTTGAATGTTTGTAAACTTTGATTTACATTTCACTTGAATAAACTGATATTTATTTATGTCAACTATTTTTACTTAATTCGAGTCGTAATTAAATTTTAAGGGTTTAGGGTTATTGGATATTGATAAATGATATTAAATTTGGGTAATAAATAACAGAAAATAACATTTGTAAAATAGGTTAATTTTGTGGCGTTTTAAAAAAAACGCCACTAATGGAATACGCAATTGTGGCATTTTTAGTTTAAAAATGCCACTAAATTGCCTACCTTTTGCAGCGTTTTACTTAAAAACGTTGCTATATATATTGGAAATAAGAGGGTTAAGGTTAGATTAGGTTAGGGTTTAGTTTAGATTTTAGGTCGGTTCTGGTTAATCCAGACAAAATCAGGTTATTACAAGTAAAATAAAATGTTTTATTAAATTTACCAGATTTTAGGCGTTCTAATCTTGCAAAAGTCTGCAAAGCAGACTTGTATTGCTCGTTCTACCATGAAATCAAAGTTTATAACTCTTGATTTAGCTGGGCAAGAAGCCAAGTGGCTTAGAAATTACTAGCAGAAATTCCTTTGAGGGGAAGACTGACTCCTTCCGTCTCCTTATTGTGTGATTTACAAGCTATGATATGTGTGGTTAAGAACCAAACTTACAATGGAAAGAAAAAATCATTCACATATGACATGAATCTGTTAGACACTTAATAAGGAATGAAATACTCTCTTTAGAGTATGTGAAGTCAGAAAGGAACCTATCAGATCCTCTTACCAAAGGGTTAAGAAGGAAATTGGTCATAGATTCATCGATGGGGATGGGTTTAAAGCCCATTAGTTGATGAATTTGTAGTGGATACCCAACTTATTTATCTAAGTTCAATGTGGTTAAACAAAGCCATGGAAAGACTCATAGTGTATATTTATATCTATGTTGAACTATATTTTGATATAACAATTTAAGGTAAAATGTTTTTGGAGTTGAATTGAATTTATTCAAAGTTTTGAAAAATAATTCAAAGTCCTTAAAGTTTGGAATTGAGCACAAAACGTTTTTCTAGACAAGCAGTACCGATACTGTTCTTACAGTATCGATACATCATGAAAAATATCGATATTATTCATATGGTATCGATACCAAGGTAAGGGAAGTATCGATACTCACTAGGTAGTACCGATACCACCAGCATTGCTCAAATTTCATAATGCAAAAATGACACCGATACCCAAAGGGGTACCGATACTACTATGTATAGTAGTATCGATACCATATGCATAGCATCGATACCATCAGACCCCAACGGCTAGTAACAACTAGTTGATTTAAAAATAACAAAGGTAGTACAGATACTTCCTTTAGGAGTACTGATACCCTTTGTTCTGGGCAGCTTTATTTTGTACAAAACTTGATCTCCAACAGCTCTAAAACACTCACAATGGCTAGAAACGGTCACAACAACATTCCAACATATAAAAACAAGTTAAGGACACTTGAATAAGGGTTAGAACACCTATCAAAGCATTCAAACACAAGAGAAGAACTTTTCACTCTTTATTCCAATTCTCTTGTAAATATTTTGTTCTTGTGAGCTAAATTTTGTAAACACCCTACCTTGTAGAGGTTTATTTGTTTACTTATTTTATCCTTTTTGTAAAGGGTTTTTGGTTATATCTTAGCGAATTCAAAAGATAGAGAGTTATAAAGGTTATTTATTTGTCCTTGAAAAAGAAAGAACAAAATAGCGAATTTGTTAGAAAATCCTTAGTGAGGAGCTAAGGTAGTGGATGTAGACTTGATTGATAAGTCGAACCACTTTAAATCCTTGTGCCAATTTTTTCTATATTTTATTCTCCTTACTCCCAAATTAAATTGTTGTCATTTAACCCCCTTTGTACTATTTCGGTTGTTCAATTGAGCCTCTTCAAATCTTAATAATTGGTATCGGAGCTTGACTCATTAGAAGGTTTAACCACCTTTAGACGATCCTCGAAGAAGCTCTACTGATTCCCGACACAACTGACAAAGAAATGGCTTCAACCTCCGGTGCCTACTATATTGAAGATTTACAACCGGTCAACAAACCACCCTACTTCAATGGAGTAAATTATGCATATTGGAAGAATATGATGATTCTCTTCATTCAAGACAACGATCTAGGAGCTTGAAACTCTATCATGAAAGGCTACACCATTCCAACCGGCGAGATGGACGATTGGAGTGATGGAGAGAAGAAAAAGTTCCAACTCAATGCTAAGGCTATGCACATTCTCTTTTGTGCATTAGGCCTGGATGAACATGGAAGAGTCTCATCTTGTTACAATGCCAAGGAGATATGGATAAACTCCAAGTCACTAATGAAGGAACTGATTAAGTGAGGGAAACCAAGATAAGTCTTCTCAACCATAGCTACGAGAATTTCAAGATAAAACCCGATGAAGACATCAAAGCTATGAAGGATAGATTTTCCGTGATTATCAATGGTCTTAATGGATTTGGAGAAGTAATCTCCAATGAGAAGCTTGCGAGGAAGATGATCTACTCTCTTCCAAAGTCTTGGCAATCGAAGAAGACTGTGATTATCGAAGCTAGAGACCTAAAGTCTCTCACTCTTGACGAGTTGATTAGTTCTATTCTTACTCATGAGTTGATGGTGAAGGAAGAGGAAGAAGATGAAGAGAAGCAAAATAATAAGAAGAATGAGGTAGGCATTGCCTTCAAGTCCACCAATGAGATTTATCAAGATTCAAGTGAAGAGGTAGATGAAGACGATGAAGAAGAAGAGATGGCCAAGCTCTTCAAAAATTTCAAGAGATTCATGTCTTCCCAGGAAGTGAAACATGAATCAACCAAGAAGAAGGGTCCCCAGATGTGCTTCAATTGTCAAAGAAAGGGGCATGTCAAGTATGAATGCCCTCTCCTAAAGAAGAATGGATAAAGCAAGAAAAAGACATTTGTGGCAGCTTGGAGTGATGAAGATGAATCCAATTGTAACACCCCCAACTCGTATCCGACTCGAATCCAACTCGAATTCGAGTCTGAGGTGTCACATTGACTTTTCAAAACTTATATATGTATACCAATATGAAAAAATCCACTTTTATTCAATATAAGCTCATAATTCATATCATTAAAATAAAAGTATCTTCAAAACTGATCAGAGCGTATATAATTCAAAACATTAATTACATGCCAACTATTTTCAATAACCAAATACAAATAATTCTAAACTTTTTTCTGATCTGATCATAGGAAATGAGAGGCTAACCTGCCTTGCCTTGACTATCGCTGCTTCGCTTCCAGAAACCTACGTGTGAAACACTCACACGCTAAGTCGATGACTTAGTGAGGCATATAAAACGTACAATGTAACTATAACTCTTAACAATTAATGCATACTCCATATAATCAAATCACAAAACCCCATATACACATTCATTTAACAAATATGTACATACAATTATATCATCGTATCATATAGTATTGTGTATTATTTCATGTTCATAAAATCATTTATTTTACCTTACTCAGCTTATAACACATTCACTTGTTATCTTTTAACTCATTCCCTTTTTCATAATTCTTAGTCATATAATATATATACTATAGTCATCTATCTTATTTCTTATTTCCAATTACTTCTATTTATCATATAATTCATAAACTCTTGCTACATATTCTATACCATATCTTTGTGTACTAATTCTTTATATTCTATTAGTTCATTTTTCACACAATTTGTTACATAAACATATTATCATAATCTGTTACAATTTTAATTTCTATAATGTTCTCATATGATTTCATTTCCTAGATCTTTGTACTATGTTTTATATCACTTAAGAATTGAACCAGTTTTAAATCATCATTTCATTGGAACATATGGAAATTTTCTATACAACCTATTTCTATATATATTTCCTATTTGATGTACTATTTATTTATCTCCATTAATTTATATAAATTCTCATTTCCAAGTATAATTCTATTATACTAGTTCATCTACAAAGTATATTCTCACTATACAATCATAACTATACTTATGGAATTCATAACATTTCTCATGTAATTACTTGAAACATATCATATAAGTTCATTATAATCTCTTATATTCCAACATATCAAACGAACATAATTTTTAACATAGATAATAACATATGCAATACATACAACCATTATACTCATATTCAAGCACACAATTACATAACAATCATATCAAATTTATTTCTATTATCTCTTTATTAGCCCATGTACATTACTGAGAACTTAAAGTATATGAGTATTGTGAGGTTGTGCACTATGCTGTCACCACAGCTCGTATAAATGCACCTAAGTGCCACATAGAATTGTACTGTAGTGCCGCGTAGAAATGCACTAAAGTGCCATATAAGATTGTCCCTAAGGACCACGTAGAAAATTCCTTAAGAACCATATACATATGCCAAGGATAAAGTATGTGTCTCAAAAGACCTCACACATGTTCCAAAGAATACATATATGTCCCGAAGGACCACATAGACCCTCGACTCTTGGCATGTCAACTATACCTGTAGCTCTCATATCTCATAACATGGGCATTAATAATTATGTTATCACATATTCACATATACACGTAGTCTCGTAGTTCTTTCACATAGCTCACTGTCATATAAATCACATACCACATATACATATAGATACATGGTTCACTTACACGTAGAACATTTTCATATGATTCACCTATCATATGTACTTTCTCTTTCATATATCTCATATCACATAGTTCACTTCTCATATGATTTCATATTCATATATCCATAGCTCATATTACTTTGCATGGACTATAAAAACATATATATATTATCATGTTTATCATCTAGGTTCATTCACTTAATCTCTTTTACGCGTATATCACATACTCATATCATTCATTCAAATTATGTCACACACATACAATAACATATAGCTCAGACACTCAT